CTTGTACTGAAATCCAGGGAACGAATGCCCATTTGGCGGGGGATGCCAAAGTACTCGAAAGTGGTGCGTTTTCAATGTGGCATTTGGAAGTTTTATATGATCTCTGGTCAATGCAACATACGATAGCCATCATGAATTGCAGGCCTCGAACGCAACTCAGACCAGAATTGGCAGTTCCCTAAGTTAGATGCTTTATAATTCCATGGCCCTAGCTGTAGTTTTAGAGGTTTTTTGCACACTATTCTTGTAGTCGATAGGTTTATAGTGATGGCCACAAACAACGGCAGTTCAAACTTCACTGATGTGTCTATGAGCTGAGAGATTTCTCTCCACTATTTCTGTTGTGCACACAGGTCTGTCCAATATGCATTGACCGTATTGGGTATGGATCCTGCTATGAGAAGGGAATTGCTGGAGCCACAGTCCAACTAGACAGGCTTTCAAGAAACAGAGAGGAGCCATCTTTGCAAGCTGATACCTGATGTGTACCGACAGAATTCTCACGAAATACCTTACGGACTACGTCTGGTGTATACTTGATAGTACTCCTTCGACTACTGTCTAGAATCAAGTCGACTGAAACAAGTTCAAACAACTCTGGCTTCAAACGTGCCGTAGATTAGACAAACAAAACATTCTCTCATAATACTAGAGCACTCTGACAACTCCCGACCTATTCCTAACGACTGCCACCGCTTATAAATATGTAGAGTGCTAATTGGAATGTGCTCATAATCTCAACAATTCAGTGCTATAATTATTTGAACAATGTGTTCCTTCCATAAATGTTGTATCCACATAATCCACAGTGCTTCAAAGTTTCAGAGTTCTCAGGGTATCAAACAAAATTTTTCAAATACAGTGAAATTTTTCGTGGACATTATAGCGTAACTTGTAGTTCCCTGGTCCTTTTCTTTGCTATACTGAATTAATCCTTTGCTCTCTAGCCGCCGGTGAGTCCAACAGTGAAATTGTTAGTTCATATTTATAATGTGGGTATGTAGGAGGGGGGGGGGGTGAAAATATTTCTATATAAGGGACCTGCAACTGTAATACCACAGTATAGTAGCCGGCAAATATGTAGAAAACAAAAATGCATGTTACCATCATTGTACATGGACGGGCGCAGCAGGCCGAAGCTATCATCCAGAACAGGATTTACGATCACCTAGAGATACTTGAGCTAATCCAGTATTCTCCGTGAGCTGTCCCATCCCACAATGGTTCATGCCACTATTATTTCTGGTAGTATCCATGTGCACAATTCCAAGAACATCTCGGATTCTTCAGCAATTTGTGCCACGGCAAAAGACAACGCTTGACTCGGTCACTGGGGCTGTCAAACTTCCCATCACAAATGAACTTCAATTTCTCATCTGTTTCAAGTATATGTACTGCCATGACTTGACCATGCTTCATCCACAGCTGGGCGAAGATTGTGGCGTTGAATTCCATAGCGCACCTTCTTGCTGCCATGCAGGAGTATGTTGAGAGAAGTGAACATATTTTTACTAAAAAACAACAGCCATTGAAGAGGATAGCAATAGCCTTGGGTGAATTTCCTGCAGGTACACGTTGTTTGTAGGTCTACTGGTCCGTCTCCATATCGTCAAGTTCAGAAATCACCTGTACTACACTACACATCTTGTAGAAGGCTCGAAGGGATCCTGATCGAATAATTTCTGGTCATAAAATTCACTAAACTGAGGGCGAGATCAGCACTCCCCGATTCCGTCAAGCTGCTTTGAAGTCTGGATGCTCATGTGATGCTAACAAGCTCCCCGTCGTTACTTCCAGCAGCTTTACTTTCCCTGCGACAGCGGCTGTCAACCTCTCTCTCCATTGTCGACAATTACCACAGATTCAATATTCTACATTTGTCACCACTGCACTGGTTGAATATGTCTCGAGACGAATTTAGCAGATCAACAACGCTTTGCTGGAGATAAATTCTCCTCTGGAGGACCTTCAGGGTACCTGGAAGGGTATAGAAGACGAGATCGCTCACGACGTTGAGAGAACATAGAAAACAACCTCCTCTTCGATTGAAAATTGGCCAAAAAGTATGTGCGCAGATGCATTTCCACTGGCAAGCTTATCCCTCATTACGTCATCAGCGCTCGCTCGGCGAAATTCAAAAGTCGTCGTCCTGCTCGACTCGATCGCTTCTGGAGACTCGTTCTTGTTCGAGGGGTCTTCTCTTTCACCAACCTTCGTTTTGGCATCGAAAACTCGGCGCCGAAAATGAAGCCGGAGTGCCCCTTTAACCCAGGTTCTACTCTAGTAACACTATAAAAAAAACCATGCGGTCGGTGGATCACGTAGCGTAGAACTCGTGTCTGACAAAGACATCTTTTTGCAGTCTTTGTATTCTCTCAGAAAAAAGCCTTTCGGATAAAGTAAGCTATGTCCCTATTGATCTCTGTCACATGGCCATACGCATGATACAGGATAGACCAATCCCGAAAAGATTGTCTGGGTTCGAAAGGGGGCATGTCAACTGAGAGTACACTGTACAACACATACATGGCACTACCTAATCAGCATGCGGCACAGGACGTGTTTGATAGTTCGCGTGTGAATGCGAGGGTAAGTACACGGTTTTCTCGTTAGTTGCATGCAAGAGAGACGATGCGACAGAAAGCAAAGCCGTTTGTAGTTTTCTCTCTAGCACTGGTAATGGTCTGCTGTTGGAGTTGAAATGCTAAGACATAATCCTTGTTTCGCTCTTCTGTGTAGTGTGAAGAGGTCAACAAACATGTAGAGCTCACTTTGATGAAGTAGGCAAGGCTGTGAGCGCTGTGGCTCAAAGCGATAGGCCCTAAATCTTACGAGATATTTCGAGTGCTATTGTTTGTTGCGAGCGCTTCGTCTTCGATGAGTTCTGCCTCTTTCCTGGCAGCTGCCCTCCTATAGGACCAACCACGAAGTGACTGTACTCATCTGCAGCCGATCAGTGTTATATTGTCCAAGAAGATATCGTTTTCGCCAAGCCAGTGCCCCGCCAAAGACCATCGCCGTGTCACACCGTCGGAACGAGTTCATGATGAGAAACATCATTCGCGCGAGCGTGATGAAGAACTATTTCGAAAGACAACATAGTCTTTACCCCCGAGACGACAACTATGCGCACGTCCTGCAAGGGGAGAATGTCACCAGCGACATCAACGAAGACGACGGCAGTATTTCGGAAACCTGGAGTCAGCGGAGGTCGTCAAGCTCCTCCGCGACCCGGTACATGTACAATAGGTGACATGTCGACACGAGCGTGCGGAAACACAGCATACACTGTAGTAATGTTGCGAGAGTTTGCGGAAGGAGTCCAAGTCGGGAAATCCATCAGCTCCAAAAGCTACCTGTAGGTGGGCGATGAGAGTCCAGCTTCAGACTACAACAGTCAGGACTTGTAAATAGTTGAACTTTGTGAAGCGGCAGATCGAGTTAGTTAGCTGAAATCGTAGCCTGTTGCAGTATGTCGGCGCTATGTAGCTTGCATTTTTTACGGAGAGTCCATCGCCACGCGAATGTTTCTCTCCTCACCGAGAGCTTGCTGGCCTCCAAACTCCGTCAGGGTCTGCCTAAGGTACCGAAGGTCCTTTGACTAGCTGCTGGCAGGACTCCATCAAATCCTTTAGCTTCAGCTCGGCGAGCAAAAGTCTCTCTCTCCTCCGCCATGAGCTGACACACACAAACTGAATACAAAACGATGCACTTCACACGTGCTGGCTTGCACGCGTGCCCCCTTTCACGAACCCAGACAATCTTTTCGGGATTGGTCTATTGCAGCCATGTTCTGTCCTCCACGGCTCCAGGAAATCGCGATTCCATTTATGCAAAACATTTTCACAATTTTAGCCCAAGCCCCGACTCCACTCTAGCTCTCTGTAAAATCCGCGATATCCCGCTTTTTTGGTGTTTTCTGCACTTTCCAAGACAGTTTACTGCACTTTTCACGCAGTGATCCTGTGATTTCCCCGAGCAAATTTGCTGCGCAAATAGCTATTCTAGGGATGCACAAAATTTCGTGATTTGGCCCAAATCTGCAATTTTCAGCTTGTGCATGTAATTCCGCGATTTCCTCGCATGTTCCACATCTTTCCGCCGCATTTGTTGTTGTTGTTTTCTGCTGCAATTTCTTGTGCATGTTTTGAGAATTTTGCTCAAATTCCCGCACGGACAGCATGTAACTGTTGGTTAATTAAAACTCCAGTCAAGCATCACGTGCATGCTGTAGGCCAAGTAATTAGTTGGTTCCACTGTCCACCCTGGTCCACATGCACGGCAGCCGTGATCGCTTTCTGCACAACTTCGGTCACATGACCAGTATGTGGAGACGCAGTGTAGCCGGTAGCAGAGCTAATGGCCATGCACAGCAAGTGTAAGCAGCGCAATAACCAATGACTGGGTACGCAGTCAGTGCTTGTACTGTCCCATGTATTCTGATCATGTGACTGTACCCAATGCAAGCTGTTTCGGCCATTACTAAAGGCCTCATCAGTGCAGCTACAGTATACTATTACTGTAGGTAGGCACGTGTTTATTTGAATTCGCTTAAGTAACCAATCGGGCGCACTGTTCAGACAGAGTTTCGAGAGCGTGCCCGTGTAGTGTAAGACGTGTTCGCATCTGTTTTCATTCATCCGCTAATGACAGCATAATAGGGTGTTCGTTACGATGCATTCCCCGGGCAACAATCTTCCGGTAACAAAAAAACAAACAGTTTGCCATTGCCGAGAGATTATGCTGTAGTGAGGCCAGATCTGTACAGAAAGGTGGGGGGGGGGGGGGGGAGAGCCTGAGAGAGAGCCTGAGAGAGAGAGAGAGAGAGAGAGAGAGAGAGAGAGAGAGAGAGAGAGAGAGAGAGAGAGAGAGAGAAAAGAGAGACCCGACTCAAACTTGTCAACTCGGGAGACAGCATGGAGGCAGAATCAGCCACGCATGATCTGCACACCTATACAGACAGGTACACGCAGTACGGACACACTAGCGATTGATAGGTATCAGCGATGACATCAGCGTATATTGCAGCAGGCTCTTGTATAAATAAAAATATAATCAGTTCACAATACAATGTTGCTAGGATTGAGAGCCAAAGATTAAAGTGAAAAATGAAGGACCAAAGGTAAAATAAAAGTTATAAAACAAAGTGAAATATTGAGACAGAGCTTTCATCCATACTCCACTGGTGCATTGGTTCGGCTAAGAGAACATCGTGGTGACGGGTGGAGGATGTTAAAAAATAACATAAAACCAGATTGAATGCAAAAAAGAACTCAACGGTCGCTACAACGGAATGATCTCCAAGAGCCTGGCGAGCACAGGTGGAGGAATTAGCATTATAAGATGCCGATTAGATTATAGAGCAAAGCCAAGATATAGCTTATTATTATTATTATTCAGCACTGCCGCGTTCAAGTCGGTGGATCCATTAGGTCCACCCACAGGTTCGCTCGTGCAGCATAGATTAAACCAAGGGGATAACGATTTGATAATGTTGAGCTACGTGATAAAGAATAGTTTCCAAAAAGATACTCTCGGTGTGACAAGGGTATAGGGTATAGGGTATAGGGTAAAGATAGAGCTAGAAGTGTAAATGGGCAACTCAGGCTGATCACTAGTGACTGTTAGCTCAAAGTAGATTGCAGATTACAGCATTGCCATCCGAACCGCCTGTTGGTCTTACAGCCAGCATCTGCCGCATCGTGTATGCATGGCACCTTGGAGTCACCACCCCCCCCCCCCCCGCACACAGGTCTACGGTGGTTGTCGTGGCTCGCCTATCCGAACCGCCTGTTCCTGTTAAAGCCACTATTCGAGGCAATGCGTGTGCATCGCGTCTCGAATAGTGGCTGTCGGCGTGGTGTGTGTTTGTGTGTGTGTGTGTGTGTGTGTGTGTGTTGTCACGGTGGTTCTCGTGGCTCGGCTAACCAAACCGCCTGTTCTTCTTACAGCCAGCACATGTTGCAGTGTGCGCGCATCGCGTCTTGCTTGCTCGGTTGGTTGGTTTAAGTTCTACTTGGCACATTCAAACGGGACGATGACCCGATAAAATGATGGTGAAGATCTTGGAGTCGTCTCCGGGCCGCACACAGGTTCATGGCGGTTCTCGTGGCTCGGCTAGCCGAACCGCCTGTTCTTGTTACAGCCGGCATCTGCGGCTGTGCGCGTGCACCGCGTCTCGAAGTCGCCCCAGCACAGGTCCAGTGTGGTGGTCGTGGCGCGCCTGTCCGCCTCGTCCACCGTGGCCAGGGTGCGAAACACTCCGTTGCCGTAGCGATCGGTCTCGCGCCGACCGTCGCGGTAATCGCGCATCATGGCGTAATGGCACTGGTAGCGACGGCGCTGCTCGTCCGTCAACTCCGGTTCAGCATTGCCTAGGGGAACAGCGCAATCACGCACAAGAACAAACGGCATTCGCATCCAGGAGAATATCGGAGCCAGCGCATGCAAAAAGGGTGCTTTAATTAATAGCTCACTGCACAATGAACTGAAAAAACGCATTTGAAGTTGCCTGTGTGCAGCTGTCAGACTGCAACCAACAAAACTGATTGTAACTTGGGTATTACCGGCAGGGGGCGTACGGGCGAATGTACATGTGTGTGTGTAGTGCAAGTTATGCGTGTTTGTGTTCATGTATTCGTGCATGCGTGCACGTGCATGTGCAAATGAAAGTCACCCGTGAACTAAAACAATTGGCAATGTGCCTGACTGCAATCGGCTCAGAAAGCTCAGGACTTTTGAACGTACAGTCGACTCCCGGTATAACGGACACCATAGTGCAGGAGCATTAGTTCTTTATAGGCGAAGTTCTTCATAACCGAAATGCACTCGCACCATACAAGCAACACGCCATGACAGGCATGTGGCCCACGACAGCACGATTGCACTTGGTTTACATGCGGCCGCACAAGACATACTTTGTTACAAAACGAAACCTGTTCGCTATAAAGGGTCAATTCTGTATGTGTTCAAAGAGGGACAAGGACGCTGGTTCGCTATTATCAAGAAATTTGCTATAATGCGAGTTCTTTGAAGTGGAGTCGACTGTTAACACCTCTCATTTTCTCGAGTACAGCTCTTGCTCTCATCGAGCCACACTTCCTAGTTTATATTCTATCGCCATCAGAACATTGGGCATCAATGCCCGTTTGCTTCGCGATGTAAAAATAAACTTCAAACAAACATAGAAACAACGCTCCGGCCTTGTCAACGCAAACACCTGCCGTTGTGCCAATATTTTATCGCCATCATACCATTGGGCATCAATGCCCGTTTGGTTTACGATGTAAAAAAAGAAACTTCAAAGATAAAAACGAAACAAACAAACAACGCTCCGGCCTTGTCAACGCAAACACCTGCCGTTGTGCCAATATTTCATCGCCCTCATACCATTGGGCATCAATGCCCATTTGGTTTACGATGTAAAAAAAGAAACTTGAAGGATAAAAAAACAAAAACAAACAACGCTCCGGCCTTGTCAACGTAAATACCTGCCATTGTGCTCTTATTCTATCACCATCATAACATTGGGCATCAATGCCCGTTTGGTTTATGATGTAAAAAAATTCAAACAAACCAAAAAAGCCCAAGCCTTGTCAACGTAACCACCTACCGTTGTGTCCGGCTCTCTCATGATCCATACTCGAGTAGCGCTGCACCTTCTCCTCGTCCTCGTGTCTGCAGATGTCCGGCGCCTCCTTACTGCGCTTCTTGATGCGATCGTAGGTCTCATCGTCCTCCGCCCCCCAGCCCCAGTAGCTGTTCGGCATGCCGCCAATACGCTCAAACTGTTCCTTCGTGAACATGATAGTGCCCCCGACGAAGCCGTCTTTCATCCACTTGTAGTCGAATTGCTGCAGCAGAGCAACAAGGGCAACAAACAAACTTATTTTTTGTTAAATACTGAAGCGCACAGTCCAGCAGAGAACGTAATGGGAAGACAGAACCAAGGGGAGACATGACAATACAGCGGTGAGCCAGTTTCACATCTTTATTCGCTTCCATGTAATCGGGCTTGTAGCCCGTGTGTACTTGCAAATTCAAATAGAATATATGTAGGACTCAGTATAGAGTCCATGCACTATATGATGTCCAGCACCCTATATGGAGTCCATTGGTCCAAAATCCACTATACAGAGTCCAGGAGTCCACTCAGTTTTGATCAGCTTCATCCTGCCGCGCAATCCCCTATAAGGAGTACACTTTTTCTACAAGTCCCCTATTCACGGTCCAGGAGTCCAGTTTATCCAGTCACGCCGTCCTGTGTGCATGTGTTGTGCCCGAAAGAGAACAAACACCTTTTCAGTTTTGCTTGCCTCGTGGCAGCGCATTCCTTTCTTCACTTCAGCCATGGCTGCCAGTTCTGCCGTGCAGTTGCTGACAGTAATCTTTCTCGAGGTAACCAAGGAGGATAAGGAGACGTTCAAAATCAAATCTGGAAAACGTCTTGTGGTTCTCTGAAAACGTTTCATCAGTGCGCGGGATGAAAGCAGAAATTGCAGAACGAGAAAAGTTCAGCACAGTTCAAATCTGACGAGTCAGGTACACTGACACTCTCTTTCGTTCGACGCCACAAGGATCCCCTGTTTGGCTGGCCATTGCTGCCAGTAAGGCGTTTGAACGGTTTCATCAGAGCGAGGGATGAAAGCAGAAAGCGGAGAACGAGAAAAGTTCAGCACAGTTCCAATCTGACGAGTCAGACACACTGACACTCTCTTTCGTTCGACGCCACAAGGATACCCTGTTTGACTGGACAAGAGCTGCCTGTACCACCGTGTCAAAAGGCTGTCCAACTACATGGCAGGACGATGACTGAGGTAAGGAAGCTTTTACTCGTTTCGATTGGTCTGCTGTTCTGTCGTTATGCTTGAATTTTTTTCCATTTTCAAGGATCGTATCGCATTTGTTTGATGTTGCTTGAATGAATGCCCTAAAAGTAATCAACCACTTCGTAATAGTCCTCAAGGACTGCAAGGACTTTGCATCAATCGTATACGATCGTCTAGCTATCATCAATTATTATTTTATTTCATGAGAAATGTATTTTTATCCCTGTGATAATTATGTGAACTCCACGACACTCTTCCTCTACTAGGCTCTAGTATGATGTCAAATACAATTGGATCCACAAACGCAGTGCCAGTGTACTAGTAGTAGTAGGAGGAGGATTTCTTGTATGCCGATGACAAGAAAAAGCTTCTCAACCTAATACATGTACTCGTATTCCATGAAGTAACCGTTTTGATGTCACAAAAATGACATTGTGTCAGTGAAACTGCCTCGTGACAACAAATCATTGCATTTCCATCTTGGGGAAGACTGACCGTCACCTGTTCACAGGTCTTTGAGTGGATGGATTTGCATTGAGCATCACATTCGTTGAGAACTTGGTAGTTGTGTGCCCCCATGCATCCGGCATTACGGTAATAAGCGTATCCTTGTGCTATTTATTTGTTGCAGGTGTACTGATCTTCAGAAGCTTGCGGAACTGAGTGCTGCTGAACATTTGCATGGCCATGAGCAATGGTGAAGCTTGCTATTGCACTCTCAGCATGTGCTAGTATTATGCTGACTACTGCACTATGTTACTTTCTTACACTACTACATGTATGTAAACGTGCGTGCATCCGCCCACGTATGCATTCGTTTCGTATAATTATTTGTTATCCTTCTTGACTTTACGTGTAAATGGGTGGACGTTTGCATGGCTATTGGAGGTGCGTGTGTATTGTGTCTCTACTCTTTTCTTGGTGTTTTCTTGGCGTTGTATAAGTTTGTGTGTGTGCACGCGCACAATAATTTGAAAACAAATAATTTATCCTTGGCTCTCCATTTATAATATTCTCTTTCGATTCTTGGTTTTTTTCTAGGTATTTTCTTGGTTTTGTGTGGGTGTGTGCATGTGTGTGTGTGCGTGCACAATAATTTGGCAACACTACATGATTGAGGTATTGTAATTTGCAGCGTCTGCGAAGAGACCACTTGATTTGAGGATGGTGTTTGTAGGGTTTTTCATGATTGTAATGAAGTGGCTGCATTGGCGCCTCAATACTTATTTTTTATCTTGAGAAGTGAATGATGTAAAGGATTAAAGGGAGAGGCCGTTTTCTGGTTAATATTCACTGCTTACAGCAGATCCTATGTCTAATTTCGAACTCTGGATAGGGGATACCTAATTGGCTGGACTTTATACAGGGAGTGTTGTCCACATAAAGACTCTTTATAGTTGATTTCAAAGTTTGGACTCCATACAGTTGATTTTGGACCAATGGACTCTATATAGGGGTGAAGCCAATTGGCTGGACTCTATACAGGGAGTGATGTCCATCTAAACTTTCAGCTCACAGTTGATTCCAAGTTTGGACTCTGTACAGTGGATTTTGGACCAATGGACTCTATATAGGGGTTGGACATCATATAGGGGCTGGACGCTCTACTGAGTCCAACATATACACACATACATACATTCTCACGATGGTCTGTGGCCAATAAGAGAAAAACCAAAGAGATGTTTACTTCACACGGAGGATTTGGTTGTAAAAAGGGGTTGTGAGATTCCCAAGTGTATTATTGGCAGTTTTTGTAGTAATTAAAAAAGTTAAGGTTCAAAAGATCCACAAACACGGGCTCATGTGCACAATCATGCACATGACTCGAGCAGACATCTAGTGCATGAATGATGTCAGGAATCACCGCCAAAGTGCCTGAGCTAAAGGCTGGTAATACGCACATGACTCGTGCTACATGTAGTGCAGCAATCATGACCCTCTGAAAACAAGCCCCAAGCGGTGTTTCAAGACTGCTTTCGCTGAGGCGAGAGCATACATTTGTGTGCAGTCCGTTCCCAAGGTTGGTAGCTTGGGGCGCTCGGCTAAACAGCGTCGTATCCCAGCTACGAAAGGGCCATGGTTGGGATCATGCATATCGGCGAATGCGAGCGCTGAACATGCAGCAAACCAACAAGAAGGCACGCATCAGCACACAACATTACCTGCACCCTGGAGGCAAGATGATAGGCACCGCAGCGTCTCCCCTTGTTCAGCACCGACGTGTTCGGAAACTCGTAGCTGTTCGTGTCAATCTCGGGCAGCTTGTCCACGTCGTGAAATATGAAGTAGTCGAAGAACTCCTTGACGAGAGAAAATCCAGAGTTGCACAGTTTTCCTCGGTTAAACCTGCCCGATTTGCTCTGCTCCATCACCAGGAACCAGTATGTATACTTGGGCTTCTTGGCATTCTGGCGCGCCAGGAAGTCGTTCATGTACTTGAGAAAGGCGCGGAGGTTGCTTTCCCGATCGCGATACGGCACTATAACAGCAAGCCGTGGGAGCCCGCCGTCCAGCCGGCTTTTCCAGTCGTAGTCTGCACCACCAAAACAGCCAGAAGATCATAGAGTAGAGAGACGGAGGGATACAGAGAGAGATAGAAATAGGCAGAGAGAAACAGAGATACACAGACAGAGAGAACGAGGGAGATAGACAGAGAGACAGACACATAACGTTACACATACAAACATTTTTCCAAACACATAATAGCTCCCGCCTGTAGCCAAAGCCATGCTCTGTAAAAGCACATACTTACATTCGGCGGCTTGCATTAACGGCACATGCGTGGAATAGGCCATCGAAGTCTAGCGTCACTGCTTCTTGACAGCACATAGTTACTTGGCCACATGATGACAAACAAAAGTCACATCACCTGCGCTTGTTGTGTTTCCAGTGGCAGGAGCATGCAGCGAACATAGCATCATTTTAACGGGGGAGCGTCGGAGTGAGAAAAAGCTATTTGAACGTGTCGCTGAGTTTATAGTTTTCGCATTGTAGGAAAGGAGAAGCCATAGCTGATTTTTACTCGGTCATTGCTGTGCCTGTACTGTCGTTCGGCTTTACATGTTCTCGCCGGCCAAGAAGAATGATGGGTGTCTGTTATTTCTATCGCGGCGATTGGTGATTTTTTTTCGTTCAGGCAGGCATAGTGGCATGATCTAAGACAATGATTGAGAAACAGAGGGCACCAGGTTCAAGTCCTGCTTGGAAGCGGAAGGATTTTTCCAGCCGTGCTGCGACCCATAGTTAATTGGGAACTCATGGCCTGGCACGAGGGAAACATGGATGCAGTGAATGGGATTTTCGGTCTTTGGCCACTTTGTGGTGGGTCTGATCTACTCACCTCCGACCTCTTTGGAGCTGCATCTGCGCCTTGATCCTAGAGGGTGGTGGCGTTCCTGCGGATGCGGAAAACTGGGCGTTCGGCCGAGTCTCACGCGAACCGTGAATTAATGATTTAATTTTGTATAAGACCATGGTATTGTAACCGGAGGTGGTCTTATATTTGGTCTCATATTTTACTTTCAAGACCATGGTCTTCTATGCGTGAGAGTCCTGTAATAGGAAACTCGTGACCTGACCGGGCACGAGGGAAACATGGATGCAGCGATGGGGATTTTCGGTCTTTGACCACTTGGTGGTGGGTCTGATCTACTCACCTCCCACCGCTTAGGAGCCGAATCTGATCCTAGGGAGTGGTGCCGTTCCATCGGATACGGATAGCCCAGTCTAGCTAGGTGTTACGCGAGCCTGCTTTGTATCTAAATTTTAAATTTTCTCACAGCTGGCAGCCTGCATACAGGACCAGATAAAGTGGATATCTGATATCTGAACCAAACATGAGTGCACTCTTTGGAGTACTTTGTTAGGACTTTCGAGTTCAGTCGGGGGCCTATGTAGAGTCTGAGATACATGTCTATCCAGGTAGCCAGTGTCACGTGGTGTAAAAGCAATCTCACCTGCGAGTGATTTCTTGGCTAGAGGTCGCACATCGGCCTCCGCACTCTTGTCTTTGCTAGCGGCTTCTTTTATCACTCGACACCACTCGCACGGCTGCTTCTTGTGCTCGGCTGCTGCCGCTGCCACGATTGCCTCAGCGCTGAAGCCACCTCGCGCTGCCAAACGTTTGTACAGGGTTGCTCCAGAGATTCTGCTTGTAGCTTGCATGCGGAACAAGAGACCGAGCGCAAGCAACGCGGCGGCTAGCCCGGCGTAAGTACTATAGCGTACTGCCATCACTCAGTCATGCTCAGTCGCGAGAAGAGAGAGAGAGAGAGAGAGAGAGAGAGAGAGAGAGAGAGAGAGAGAGAGAGAGAGAGAGAGAGAGAGAGAGAGAATGTTGACTTTTGCACCCCTATTTCCTTCAAAGAGGATCATCAGTTCACGACATAAAACTACTTATTCCATGGATGTGGACCTGGATTTCCCTTGAAAAGCTGTGCCCACGAGTGGGTTCTCTTCCCAGAGTGTGCCCAACTATTAAAGGCAAAACACAAGGGCCACACAGCTAGCCTAGACGACAGAACAAGGGGTTAGTCCACTTCGTTGTCGACACCGACATTGTGCTTCTAAAAATCCTGGCGGCGGCCGAATGCGCACGGATCAATGCCGTCGCCGAACACGTACATGTGAGCGCATTGAGTGAGCTGCATGAGTACGGCCGGGATATCTGCAGTTCAAATTTTTTGACAGTTTCATTCTTTTCTCGTGCACAATCAGGAAGGCCAGCTACATGACCATGATGACTGTCATGACTCATGTACATGTCCAAACAAACAGTTCTAGTCTAGAGTCTGACCAGGGAGTAGTAAAATACAGTATTAATTTTTATTTTTACTACTCCCTGGTCTGACTGATGACAGATGACTGAGATGAGTGATGAGTAGACTCTACTCTACTACAATCATGACTGTGTCATGACTCATGTACAGTAGATCTACTCAGTAGTAGTACCGGTACTAGTATACGATTGGTATACTACTACTGTACTAGTAGTGGGGAGGGCGTTACGTGAGTAACGTGACCCGAGTGACCGGATTTCAGGGAGCATCACCGTACAGTCACAGTATGCATGCTACAGTGCTGGCAACTGAAATCCGACCACCTTGGATTTCAGTTTTCCAGCACTGAAGCTGTAGTACAGACTGTCAGTGCACACTAAAACAGCGAAATCACTGGAGTAGTCACTGTCAGTGAGAAAGTAGTTACTTTTTTTGTTTGGACCCTACCCCGCTGCTGCGCAGGTGAAGAGCCCAGCGTTCACAGGCCACATGCACAGTACAATAGTCATGTAGTGCCAGACAAATTTCGCTTGCTTTCCACGAAATATCCGAAGAAAAGCTGATACTACTATTGTATCTTCCTGAAATTATTTACCTGCACAATGGGAGCAAGTATTGAGGGTAGCTAAATTTGCCTAGCTTTAATAGCTAGCCCAGAGGCCCCAAAGTTAATAGTCTGCAGACATTGACATCAGTGTCTTGCGTGCAAAAACCAGGTCAGCTTCAAGCTGGCGGTTCAAGGCTATGTTGGAAAGCATTCCCAACATAGCCTTGAACAGCTAGCCTAGTTGCAGATATGTGGTCTGTGTGAGACAGGCTGTGGCTGTGGCTGTGCGCATACATGTATGCTGGTGCATGGCCATAATGCTCATTCATTGATCTTAGTTATGGCACACATACACACACACACATACACTTACGGACACGTACGCAAAAACACACACACTCGTCATGTGACCAGATTCTTGCATGGCATGGAACATGCATGGGTGCTAGACAGCTAGTCCGCATACGACAATGTTGAACAACGTTTATAATTGTTAACTCAACTGGGTAACCTGCAAAATTAATCTGCAATCAAAATGCAATGGAATCATGAACGGCCATCATGGTCACTCGCGCAGAAATGGAAAGGAATGTTCGAAGTACCCGGGTCAGATACGAGAGGAATCCATGATCTGGTGCCCCGGGTAGGATCCGACTTTACAAGTAAAACGGCAGCATGTCATGCATAATTGTAGCAGCAGGGTAGCTAAGAAATCACACGATTATTCACAAAAAATGTGTTCGTTTCCCACACCAGAGCTTGTGCTATTCCGCTGACTTGGCTTGACATCGCCAAAGTCGCAACCACTATTTGGTAAAAAAAATTGATTTACAAAAATCACAGGCGGCAAGAAGCCGGAGATTGTGTCTATCAATGAAGTCGAATAAATCATGCTGCTAGACTTTGGAAAGGCAACTACACCTGGCTGCGGCCTCTGAGATGGAGATAATCCTGATGCATAGAAGTCCTGAGGATACTATCAGTATTACTAACTCTTCTCCAACTTGGATCATGATAAGAACTGCACAGAGGATGCGGAAAGCGTTGATTCGTGTCGCGTGAAAAATACTCCCTCGAATGTCGGGAGTTAATCACTTTAGCAGTACTTCAAGTAGGTTATTACTTTGAGCAGACAAGATCACATGATGCTTAAACAACAGCAGCGCGAACAGTTCACCAGGAACACTCCACAATAGCAATTAGTTACTCATCATTCACTTTGCTCGTGTTTCGCTCGTGTGTACACACACTGTTCGAAAAACACCAACACGAACAGTTCACCAGCAACAATCCACAGCAGCAAGTAGTTGCTTTTGGCTGTTTACTTTGCCCGTGTGTACACTGCGGGCACAAAGCCAAAGGCACGCTGCATGGGCGCAAACACCCACAGCCAGTCCTTGTGATCCCGTTCGTCTGCCACCACCACCACCTCGCCGCTGTGAACCGTCAGCTGGCTGTTGCCCTTGGCGCGGAAGTCCTTGCGCACGCACAGCTGCGTGTTCAGCTTGAACGGACTGCCACTGTTGCTGCTGGCGCTATCGGCAGTGTCTTGAGCGATTTTCTCGCTGTCGTCTGACGAACAGCCACCTATGGCGCTGTCCTGGGAATGCACTCGACCTGGTCGTCTCCCATTAGCAACGGTGTTATTGGCAGGTGCATGCAGCGTTGTAGCATGTGCTGTATCCACATGACCAGCCCCTGGCACTGCGCAGTCCAGTACGGACCCCATGAACGGCGGCGGCTCCTTTCCAGTGCGTGATCGGGTCGGCGACGGGAGCGGAGCTCGCTGACGGCGCGTCTGATTCGTTGAGTGCACGAACCGGGACGCCCGCTCGGTTGCTGGCTTTGGTGATGGTGCGCTGACGGGCGTGGACGTTTGTCGCACGTACAGGTCCTGTGCGGCGCCTGAACGACCGGCTGTTGGCACACTGTGGGAGCGGTCATAGCACGGTGGCGTTGCATTGTAGGCTCCGGCTGTACCCGTTGGATTGTTGATCCTTTGCGGCGTGCCTTGCGGCGGTGCACTTGCCTGCTCTGACGGTCTACGACGATGATTGTTGGCATTAGCGTGCGAGCGGATGTTCACCTCGCTCACTCCTCTGGACAGAGCATGAACACTACTGTCAGACCGCTCACTTCCATGAGCAGCAGTAGTCAGGTTGACGGTCGAAAAGCTCCGCTCGCTGCCTTGATAGTGCGCATCAGCCGCAACAGCAGGAGCGGTGGCGGTAGCAGTGTTGCGTGAGAGAGCTTTTGGCGGCGATTTTCCCCGACGCGGACCTCCCAGAAGGGATATGACATTCGGAATGGACGGGTCGTTCGGGGACATAACGGGGATATCTGATGAGTCGACGCGCAGCAGACTGAGGGACGGGTCGCCGCGATCGCCGTGTTGAGCCGACGCCACTGCATGGCTTGACGCAGCTACTTGCGGTGCAGGTGCCTGACTTTTGTCGTTCAGGCACGTTGAGCTGACCGAGTTGCGACGATTCAGCGAAGACCTCGCAGCGGCCGCTGCCACCGCAGCCTGACGTCGCTTGTTGGGCAGAGTGGACGTGTGATTACCACTGTAGATACTGGACGCACCGGACGACGTCACGCTGTACATGCGCTGGAGATCAATACTCTGGCCGTCGGGCGCTTCCCTGCCAAAGTGAGGCGGGTTGCAGGCAGACGATCCGTCGGACGTCAGCGAAGCGGTGTCGCAGTAGAAACGCCGCCGACTGTTGAGCCGCCTCATTTCCGTGCCAGGACGCGTTCGTTGCTCCGTCACGGTCGCCGTCGACGACACCACTGCGTCATCTGATTCGTTCGCCACCATGGAGGCCGGTCTGAAAGGGTAGCCTGCAGCGCCAAAGAGCGGAAACAAACATTTTTGGTTGCTGCATATGCATCTCACCATGGCAAAACCCTATTTGTATACTCAACCAGTGATAGGGTAATGCAAATCATTTTTCCGTCACCATGGATGGCCTGAAAGGATATACTGACGTGTCAAAAAGCGAAAACACTATTCTTTGTTGTTGCATATGTGATACGTCACACAATGGCAGCCTTGTTTTGGATACACAAACAGTGATAGATTAAAACATCTGAATTGTCCACCACAATGGTCGCTGGCATGAAAGGCTATCCTGCAGCGTCAAAGAGCGGGAACAAGCATTTTTAGTTGCTGCATATATACATCACAACATGGCGGCCCTATTTGGATAGACAGATAGTGATAGATAATTGACATCCGGAAGAAGTGTCAAATCTGTCAAGGCGACCAATCTGATAAAGCAACCACTCTGATAACGCAATCACTCTAATAAATCAACCACCTGGTGGGGTGGGGATCATCTTGGAGATTATGTATCTCTCACCGCATACGTCAATCTGGGTGGGAGGTGGTGGGGGTAGTGGGGGGTGGGGGGTGGGGGGGGGGGGGTGCTATTGTGGGGTGACATAAGTAATCTCTCCACACATGCATCAACAATATGTCCCACAAGCCTACCTGGAAAGGGGTCGCATTGTCTCGCGAAGCACGACGGAAGAGTTCCGCAGCGCCCTGTACCCAGACTGGCCACCACCCAGTCTTGTGCGTCGTCGGCATAGTCGTGTACGGTCATCAGGTCGCCCTTGCGCACACACAGGTGCATCTCAATGGTCATCGAATGCAGCGTGCCATCACCATCACTGTCGGGCTGTTCTGGTGTACCGTCACCATTGAAGTCAAACTGGGCCCTGAAGGGAGAAGAGCAGTTGGTACAGAGAGCACAACAGTCAATGCAAACTTTCCCCCGTGTATTGCCGAGGAACCGTGGACTGGCATACCTTAAAAGAACATGCCGAGCTCGGAAAATGGAAGTAAATGGCAAGGGCGACAGGCAGACACGATGAGTCGACTGAATGCAGCTGCACTGTGAGACAAAGGTGGTGATGGAGCGCTCCAGGCTCCACCAACCTATGACTAATGCATTGGCACTTTTATCATGCAATGAAATGCAGGAGAAGAAAGGGATGTTAAGATGGGAGAGGAAAATGAGACACAGAAAGTGTATGTGTGGGTGTGTGTGATAAAAAGAGAGAGAGAGAGAGAGAGAGAGAGAGAGAGAGAGAGAGAGAGAGAGAGAGAGAGAGAGATGGTCGTGGCAGTTAACACACACTTGCAGTGTCAGGTGGAGTAACCCATTTGTACAACTTTCATTTAACACACATAGGATGCTTTATTTAGCTGACTACTTACACCGCAGGATATGGAAAGCCAGTCGTCTGCGTGTCTGAGACATCCGGCGTTCTGCCGCGCATGTGCGACACGAGAGTATGCTGGGATGGGTATTGCTGCGCGCTCATCTCCGACGGACACTGGCTCCACGTGTCATCGTCGCCGGTCGCCATCTTGGATGCCGGCATCGCCATGGGAACGTGATCGTCATCGTTGGCACGGTGACACGGCGACGGCATCATGCCCGGAAAGGTGATCATGTGGGCCATGGCGGTGCAGTTCTCCGAGTGGCACGACGAGGACGAAGACGAGTCCGTGCTGCGCTGCCTCTGATGGGAAGCGCCGTTGCCATTGGGTCTCACAACACTCGAGGTAGTTTCCTGCGTACGGAACGAATATCGCCACTCCTCCACTGCTTGGTCATCTTCGCTAGCGCACTCGGCGTCAAATTCCTCATCTGACGGAACAAGCTCTAACTGCAGGTATGGATTGGCGAAAGCACTGGGAGTGGGCGAAAGCCCGGATCGCGCGGCATTCGGACGGTCGTTTTCGTCCTCATCGTCGTCGTGGACAGTGTCCGTGGCCTCAAAGCCGGGCACATTGAGCTGCTGCCACATGCGATACTGCCCACTGCCCAGCGAGGTGGCGCGGCGGTGGCGCGATCTTTTCTGCTCCGTCTCCTTGGGGGTGAGCGGGCGGCAGTGCGACTGCGGGATGTAGCCGAACTGCACGTCGGCGTCACTGCCACCGCCGGTGCTGCTGAGCTTGGACAGGCGACGCTTGACCTTCTGCACCAGCTTACGGCATATGTACGCCCACTCTCCTGCATACAAAATGCACACGATGCAAGAAAAGGGTAAGTTTTCTTCAAGTAAAATGTTGTTTCTCAAAGACACGCCGCTCGAATGGAAATATTGTCTTTGCATAAATTACAGCAGCTACAGGCTTACAAAAATGGTACCAAGCACATGTAGTCTCCCTGAGGTGCAGCATCATACACCTCAGTTCCTTTTGATTAATCACTCGCACGTTGAATTTCTTGAGCACAGTAACACCAAAGAATAGGAAGAAAAGTCAAGGAGTCTTTGTGTTCCCGGAGAAAGTAAGTTTCGTCAATACAAATCAAGACATGCACAGTCAAACAGTACTGACCTTCAATGAAGAGCAGCTTCACTTGCTCGTCCCTCTTGACCGTGACCTCATCGTCGGTTCTCGCCTTGAAGTCCTGGACGACGATCACGCAGCAGCGTGCCGGCTGCCGCTCAAACGAGCAGCTGGTGCGGCTGTCCTGCACGCGCCGCCGGTGCGTTATGTTGCCGGGCACTCTGGCACGCAGCGTCACACCACCACCACCACCGCCAACACCATTGTGCTCCTGCCCGGTACCATCCCCACCGTGTTTGCTGTTATTGCTGCCGCCAGAGTGGGGCTGCTGGTGGGCGAGGAACTTCCGATGCATCTCCATAGCAACTGCACAAAACGACAACAACAACAATAATAATAATGGTTACGGTCCGCATGTCACTTGTGGAAGGATCTGTGGGCTTATCGCGTCTGTCAATGAAATCCCGGCAGAAGAGCCAACAAAAGGCATCTCAATCTTGTTAGAACTTATATGTATAGTAGTAAAGAACAAAGCAAGCGCAGCACGTTTCTCCATAAGCACCAGCCATTTTTCTTGTCCAAAAGCCAATTTAAAACAGTCAGAAATATCAAAATCGAAAACGACGATCACATGAGTACCATTCAATTCACACCTTTTTCAAGGTTTTAATGCAGATTTGAATATTCTTTCTCTGTTGATATGGTGTAGGGAGGTACCGTAGAATCCCGCGGATAAGCCCACCCGCGTATAAGCCTATGCCCGCGCATAAGCCCAGGGAAAGTTCGAACATCACAAGGCTTCGTCATACAAGCCCATGGGCCTAAGTCGTACCAAGAGTCCATAAATTATGGACTCTTGGTCGTACCATGTACATGTAGGTAGAACATGTAGATTTTTTTAGTTTTTTTTTGTACATTTCAACACAATCATCGGTTGTTTTTGTTTGCACAGTGCAGTGGCATCCACCAATGTATTTCTCACTTCCTTGGTACTTTTCAATAGCACAATGTTGGTGTCAGCGTATAAGCCTATGTCCGCGTATAAGCCCATGTTCTCGTATAAGCCCACCGAAATGTCCTTGTGAAACAGATAAGCCCATGGGCTTATCGGCGGGATTCTACGGTATCCTATGTTCAGGTGTATCCATGACAAGCATGGAATTGCAACCCCCCCTCCCCCACCCTCCCCAGTGTTAGTATTAGCAAACAACACATGGGAATACATAGAAAAATGAAATTGAATATCCCCTTTTTCCTTTAGGTTGCATTGAAAGCCAGAATTCAAAGAGTGTCAGCCTCCCCCCCCCCCAAAAAGCGGTGAGAATAGGGACTACTCACGGATGCTCAATGCGTGCATGCAAGAGTGCAGAAACATGATAGAACTACAATGGACTGGCAACACATTGTCCATTATTTTGTATAATATTATGCACTGCTGCATTGCATGCTCCACCCTATGCATGTGGATAATTAGTTCTGCCACAAAAGCGACTAAGCTACTTGCTTCCTTCCAGTCATACTATATAAATCATTATACAAAGATCGATACATACTGGCGTATTGAGCGTTGAGGATGAGTGAGAATCGTTACCTTTGGTACACGTAAACCAGTCAATTTTGGGAAATCATTATAATATTATTATATGCGCCTCGTTAGAATAATGGCTTTTACAGTATTCTACAAAACTCCCCAGCTGTGTCCTGGCAGCCCCCTCACTTTGCTGAGGGCTTGGCAATGCCACGCTCTCCAATACAGCAATAGGCTACATGTGCATGTATGCTGCTAAGACTCTTGGGAGCAGCATACTATGTTTACGGATTTGCATACAAAATGACCACTTCAACCTTTCAAAACATCTTCATCAATGCGTATTTTACAATTGCACGGTGGATGCGTAGTGAACAACCCCCGTGAAAACCAGACACTGCCCGTTACCTAGCGAATACGCCATCGTCCTTCTCGTGCTTCTTCCCCGGCTGTGGACCGCAATCCACCCCGCTAGCAATCTGCCATACACAGGAAGTTGGGCTTCGAAATCCGGCTGTTGCACTTCTGACACAAGTTCTACTTGTCTTTGTTTTCCTTTCTATCGCCTTTCAAAGACCGTTCGTGGATATTCCTGTCCACTCGTTAGCCAGAAGGCTGAACTACATTCACACGACACACACTGAAGCACAATGCTGAAGATACCACAGCTCATCACGCGTCATCAAGCAGCAGATTTCGAGAGCGAGATAGTCGGACACACTTCACCCGCACACCACGGAGATCCCAAATGATTTATTTTTCTGCTTACCTTTCTTCTTCGCGAAGCTCGTCAGGCAGCTGGCGCTTGGCATTACGGAGTCCATCGCTGGAAGTAGATCCTTACACACTCTCTCTGAGGCCATCGTTCTGTCAGGGCGCGTTCGCCAAGTACTGAACTACAAGGAGTCGTGTTCTTACTCCGTGTCCTGCCAAGCAAAGGAGGAATTACAAGTAGTTCTGGGGCCGGCGACGCGTGCACGTGCTGGCGTCTCCCAAGCTGATTCCAAATCGAACGAGACTGCAAAGCAGCAGGAATCCTGCACAGTTGCCTCTCGAAACGACGTTGATTGATGAGAGGTAATATTTGGCCCGGTACTTGTCAATCTGAAAAACGGCGCTCCAGGATTTTTGTGTACTTGAAACTGGCCCAGTTTGCTGCTAAGAAAATACCGGTCACTCTCGCGCACACACACGCCAACACGCGTGCCTCAGTGATACAGTCCGCCTTTTCATCTAGAGTTTGCACACGGCTTTTTCTTCACTCTTCAGTTCTCCGGGGGTCTGGCACAGAAGACAGCCAACTACTACTAGTGCTCCACTTCAAGGGAGTCACAGCAAGAAACAAACAAAGCGCACCATGCAGTTGTCTGAAGTGAGGGAATCGACTGCAACTTGCAAGGCCTTCTGCCCTTTGCTGCTCTGTAGTCACTGGAGAAAGCGCTGCAGTCGCCAGCATATTATGCAAGATCTTATTTTGTCGGGGGTCACTTCTTGGTCTTGCATGCGAACTGGCCACGGGAGCTGGATTTGAGCATAGCGTTCATGCCTGCAAGTGAACGTGCATGGACCACGTGCACTGGACATTGCGGAACGGTGGGAATACGTGGAGAGCTGTACAAGTGTTACTTCCAGGCCTTTGACATCCACCCCGTGTCCACTGTGCCTGTGGCTGTGGGCTGCCATGGCTTTTTGGTGACCAGAAAGGATGCGCGCAAGAAACCGTGCGAAGTCAACAAGCGTCCTCGCAGACGCGTGAAGCGGAAGACTGCAACTGCCGATGGATGAAAAGAACAGGGCCAGCTCGCGCGAGCTGTGACCCAGATTCCTACTCCTAGGCTACGGCGCGCATAGCGCGAGCAAGTACAGTGCACTTTGCACCCACGACCTCACCACTATTACTAAGGCACTAGCGATAGCACTACGCTCATTGACATTCTAGAGTAGAGGCCAGAAAAAGAAAAGTCTCCGCCAGTTGATCCAGTATGCGTTTAGTCTGCGGTGCAAGCTTTCATGCTGTGTGCCTCCATGGAGTCTCCACTGACTGTAGCCTACAGTTGGTGTAGAATTTCGAGCGCAATAACATACAATCAGTCACGTACAATGTACAATGTACATGTACATGTACATTGTTGTAGTCGTGCTGTCGTATTGTTTACACGTAAATAATTACAGTTGTGCGGGATGGTACACAGCAGATTATCATGTTTATCATCAAAGGGATGCGTGCAATACTTTCGCTGTACGGTAATTCACTGATTGGCTTACCAAGGGCATGGGTTTATGCACTCTTTGGTTTTGGCATGGAAACCAAGTTTCAGCTACGCACACGCTTGCCATTGAGGCATTGTGTAACCAAAGGAAAACTTGTACGTTACTTTGTACATGTACAAACAAGGTCGGTCTAGGCAGCTCTAGGTAGAGTGCTCAATGCACAAATTAATACGCCTTCGCTTTCTTGTTATTGGGCAACTTGCCCGTTAGAATCTGAGAGAGTAAAATAAACAACAACAACAATACACACAAACTCCAGACGCGAAAGGCTGTTTAGCATTTCAGCGATCATCAGTCAGCAGCAAATTTTACAAATGCTGATGATCGCCGACAAGCGGTAAACTTTTAAAAGTTACAGCTGCGCAGCCTTTCGCCTCTGTTGTACAGTCAACTTCGCTTATAACGACACTCGGCGGGGCATCAAAAAAGTGTCCTTATTCGCAAAGTGTCGTTATAACTTATACGCGAAGTCTCATTATATGTATTACAGTTGGAAGGGACTTTGCTCTGGGCATGGAAATGCTGTCGTTATTCGCGAATTGTCGTTATATCCGAAGTCGTTATTAGCGAAGTTGACTGTATGTGTTAGCTACTTTGTACATACATGTACATGTATTGTCCAATCATGCAACTGTTTGACGGTCAAGCCGAAAGGAGTGAAACACTGCAAGTCCAAAGCAAACAGCAGTAGGGCTTGCTAAGTTCTGTACATGTTCAGGAAGCCATATTCTGTCGGAATAACTTTTCAGTAGAGAACTAGATAACATTCATGTAGAAATGTATGATCCCTTGTTCTTCACTAGCAGAAGGCTCTCTTTTCTTGTCAAGATTTGGTGTTCAATCCTACGTTTCAGTTGAGAGTTCTATTTACTTCCCAATCTGAGTTCAAGGTCTTTTTGCTCTGGTTCTTACTTCATGGCTTCACGCGATTGGTGTTGTGAATAAACCCGTTCTCAAGTAGAAGGTTGAACTAGGGTCCAGCGGATTCTGCCGGCAGAAAAACTGGCAGAATTCGGTACTTTTTCTGGTAAGTTTCATGCATGTTTGGTATGTGGATAAAGAAATGGAGCAGAATTCGAGGAATTGCCCGCCATACGGTTTGCATGGTTCTGGCAATTTTACTGCTTTTCGAGCAGAATCTGCCACCTTTTCGAGCAGAATCCGCCACCTTTTCGAGCAGAATCCGCCGGTCCCTAGAAGGTTCTCAGTCACAGTGGACATGTACATGTACATGCACCTGTACACTGTGTATGCAGGATGCAGTAACGGACACGAAAGAACATTCACGGGAACCTTTTCTCTGCTTCACAACCGCTAGTTGTGAAGCAGAGAAGAATTTCTTGTGAATGTTCTTTCGGGTCCGTGTTATGTACATGAGCATGTACGTAGGTACATGTACATTTTTATTTGAATGTGCAGAACCAAACGCGCGGTGTCGCCCGAGTACATGGAAGCGAATGGAAACAGTAAAATATTGTAGGAAATAGCCTAACATGATAGCAGGGTGTAGTACAAAGCAAAGAACGCTCAGTCAATGAATAACGTTAACGTTAGAACACAACACCGTACATATGCGTCATGTACATGTACTAAGTAGAAGTAACCAGAACTACATGTATACAGTCGTTCCTCTTTAATCCAACACGCAATGAACAAACTTGATTTCCTGCAAACAAAATACACAGTGCAGCAGTAAATAGGGACCGGCGGATTCTGCTCGAAAAGCAGTGAAATTGGCAGAACCATACAAACCTTATGGCGGGCAATTCCTCGAATTCTGCTCCATTTCTTTATCCACATACCAAACATGCATGAAACTTACCAGAAAAAGTACCGAATTCTGCCAATTTTTCTGCCAGCAGAATCCGCCGGACCCTAGCAGTAAATCAGATTGTCTAGTCCAGCACCCTCCCTAATCCAGCTTCCAGCAGAATTTCCGAGGCACAAATGGTGCCGGTTTATAAAGGGACGACTGTAACTCGATTACGTCATCATATGAGAATCTGATGTTTGTATGGAGTGCCATCAGACTTTTGATTGACCTGATCATTGAAGACAAAAAGCACGTCCATGTAATCGGTGTTGTTGTAGTTGAAGTGCTATACTAGCCTACAGTTGTTGCTTTTGTTGATATGGACAAAGCACAATGTCATGTACAAGTGCATGTACATGTACATATGTACATGACATTGTCCTGCAGTTGGACACACACGGCTGGGTGGAGGGTACGAACAAAGTCAAAAAGTAAGCCGTCCAACAAGGTGTTGATGTTTTCAGTCCAGAGCGTGTGATCGGCTCAGGTGTTGATGTTCGCATGTGCTCAACACTAGTCTTGCTCTGTGAGGGAGGGATGGGGCGGTGGTGGAGGGGTGGGGAAAAGGAAATTCCGGGACGGGACTTAGGAATTCTCACCCAGCGCTGTATGCTCTACCTACTGACTTGATATCCTCTTTGTTACCGCATACCAACAGACTACATAAAAAGCCTCACCTCAAAGTCCAAGACTGTGCATGGACTGTGCATGCACATGTCATGCACATGTACAAAATGATGTAACTCGAGGCAGGGTGAATTTCAGTAACTCCCGCCGTGAGTGTTATCCTGGGTGCATATCAGTAACCCCCGCTGACATTATAATTCTGTTGGGCGCTTCATCATCTTGGCCGTATCAGGCACCACTCTCTGTACTTGTACTACTGGCGGTAGTATCTCTCTCAAAACGGGTTTATTCAAACAATACGACATGGACAGAAAGAAGAAAACCAAAGGATACAATGTACAAGGGATGAAGCTCGACGATGAAATAAAAATGAAAATTTTAGTAGTACTGTATCCCGTTGTGAATGCAGTAGTGGCTCATTGCAACCTACAAATCGCTACTTGATCAGTTTGTACAGTGGAATTCTCTGGCACTTGAGTGTTCGTGTTTGGCCTGAGTGCATGTTGCTATTCTCGCACGAAGGCTAGGACGTGTATAGTATTGGACGGCAATTGATTTGGAACATGATTGACAATACAGACACCACGTGTGTGGTGTTGGATTTCAGTGCATTTGAATAGCCAGCAAGAATAGTCGGGGATACGATTTGAATGGGCGAAATTGTCTACATGTACAAGCATTGTACCATACTCCATACTCCATAGTGCATAGTGCATAGTGCATACTCCATAGTGCATGTATTTTGAAAAAGACCCATGTACATGAAAACACAAATGTTTTATAGAAAACAAAACTTGCGCAATTGCACGCAACCTAGAACCTTGATGTCGGCGGTACACAGATAGAAACACTGTTGATGTGAATGTACCTTGTTTACGAAATGACTTCCAAGTAGTCGAACTAACACGTGAATCAATAATGTATGGTGAAGCAGAACACCAACACGAGAAGGCTGCGGGAAGTACATTTCGTGTTCATGTACTTGATGTTCATGTTCGTAATCGTGACCGTTCAGTGAGGTATCAGACTCACTTGCAGTTGTGGCAAGGACTTCGAGAATAGAACGCAATCATTGCAGCAGATGGAAATTGGCCTTCTGAACTGGTGCCGTTAGGATGACCTCGAACGAGCTACATGTATGCTTACAGTCGTAGAGGCGGGCTCACACCCCAGGGTGTCAACTTACCCATGTCTAACCCCCAAGACGAAGTCTGTAGTACTGGTAGTCATACTGGTCGAAGATTATTATTATGTTACAAACCTTTTTCATGCGATGTTTCTTTGTCTTGCCACAGTTATGGAGAGTGAGTTGCAGTCTGTACGACTGATATACACGTACATGTATATGTACCGGCACGTGTAATGCATGGCGGTGGTGATGAAGAGTTCCACTCGGGACAGCCGGCCAGTGATAAAGAGACGGGTGTTGCTGTAATGAAGGTCTTCATGGTTCTCGCAAGAGCCAACATAGCGAATGAGTACTCGACTGAGGATCGTTTCATATTCCTGGTCATACATGTATATGTGAAGGATTGTTACTAGTATTAGAAGCCTCCAATGATTATGTGGTGCTACCATGCTGACCCGATCAATACCTGCTTCTGGAATGGCTTCCAAAAAATCTTCATGTAGAGTAGTGGCAGGAGGAATCCGACATAATGAATATACATGAGTGTAGTGTCGCCGAGGGCTATGTATCCCTAGCATCACAAACACCACTCTGCTCTGCTGGCCGCGGCGCTACTGTATTTACGACGATTTTATGTGGTCGGATTCTCCGGCGCCAGCCAACACTGTAC